CTTACCTGCTCTAACTCGAACGTTTCTTGATCCCACACTTCCAATTATGTTGCTAGCAACGCACCGGTAGATGGCATTATGTACCTCTGGCCTATAATCACCTGGATGAAATGGTGGAAAAAACAGTGCTCCATCCGATCGGACATAAAGAACACCAGGAATGTCTACGACTGAAGATCCGTCCGTTTTTGTCCACGTCACGACCGTAGACGGACTTCTGGTCACTAAGCATGAGACGCCCTCTCCGCTGGAATTGAGAAAAGTCACTTGGCTTGGCGGTTCTGTGATAAACGCTGGTGGTTGAATTTCATCTTTTCTGGAAACTAACAACTACATGTAAGATAATTGGATTAAATGCCCGAGTAGTTCATATAATAAAATATATGTTATCTATCAAGTTGTCAATACCCTTCGTGGCTTGCGTGACTTTAAGGAGCTGTACCTGACAATGAATGATGACGTACTTTGTACTTCACCATAGTGAACTGTTTTTCTTTACATACAACTAAGTCTAAAATAGTCAGGTCACCTTATTAGGAATCTTTATGCCGATTGCTTTGTTATTTCAGCTTTAAGATGCTTTCCGAAAAAATATAAAAGTTCTTATTTTGTATGCCGTGTATAACAGTTTTTAATCAGACTATACAGATTTAGCAAACAAAATAAGAATGTTATATATATAGTATTTTGCTCAGAATATTCTAATAATGTTTATAGCCTCAAAAAGAGGATACAAATTGAAGCATAACTTTCCCATTATGAATTTCTGCATCATCCATTTATCATCTTTCCAATAAAATCCACAACTTTTAGTAACTTATCACTTTGCTCTAGAGAAAGCATATTAGTTAAATCTCTCTGGAGATTCCTTGCTGACGTGTGATATATTTTATGCACGTTCTAACATTGATATATATTTAACGATTACCATCATAATATCTTTGCACCATTCGTAAAAAAAAACAACAAGATATAAAAGATAAAGGAAGAAGAGTTAATTCAGTAGTCCAATAGAAAAAAGTGTTCCTGTTTAGGGTAAACCACTAAAAAAGCAAATAATAGAGCATTTCTGTGTGAGTCTTTTGACGGAGATTATCAAGGAATTAAATAAAGAAGCGAAAATAATGTCTTTATCGACACATTAACGTTTAGCTACATAAAGTGTAATATAAATTAACTTACCTTTTTCAATAGAATGATGAACCAACAGTAACACAGCAATGACTATTTCAGTTCTCATAATGTTTAAACAAAGGCAAAAGTAGTTGTTTACGAAAGAGGCTTTCTGCACCGCACGCTAACGACCATGGTAACTACAGATAAACTGAATCGCTTACGTAGGTGAACTAGTGACAAACGCTGTTCGTCTTCGAACGGTAGCGCTCAGGAAAATCGACTGCGCATGACAACCAAGGACAAGAGAAAAGTTTCAAACGACACTAATGTTTGAGAAGAATGAATCTTTACTTTGTGATCACGTTTTTTCTATTAAAAAAAACACTAAAGTGTATGTTTCAACGTAATTGTTTGCACTAAATTAAGCATACAAGAAGTCTAAAGGAGTTGGTTTAAAAGTCTTAAACTCAAACAAGCAATGAAGATCCAAATGTAATAAACTGAAAATTGAATCAGTTAAGCGCTATAGTTTACGCAACATATAATACAGATATATAACTTCTCATTTATGGCTGTGTTTGGAAGTGTGAAAATCGCTAAAAACTTTATATATATATATATATATATATGTTTGCAATCATGTTTTAATTTATGTATCATTCAACATTTTTTTTTTCAAGGATTTCATTTGAGAAATGTTAGTGCAGAATAATTGTACTGTTGTAGACATATTTTATATGGTAAAGGTATCAGAATATAGAGTTTTATGAAATATAAATACCAACCACATATATTACGTGGATATTCTTTCGCTGGAAATCCAAAAAATATTTTTCAAGCGTTCGATACTATAAATATGTTATTTTTTCAGGTTTATATCTATGAAGTGTTACTCCTTCCATCAACATTTATTTACGAACTTACCTACAGTAAAATAAAGAAGGTTAAAACTTTGGTTGGTTGTTTTAGCACAAAGCTTTATGTGATCGGTCCACCATGTGAGATCGAACCGCAGATTTTAATGTTGTAAGTCCTTTAAACTTACCGCTGATCCATTATTATTATTATATTATTACTATTCTATTATTCCAGTACTGACGATAAAGAACATGTTTCTTAGAGCGAAAATTCTAGGTTAATTATCATAACTTTAAATAATGTTTCTTCATCATGACGACAATATTTATCAATGTAATTACTAACTACACTGAAAGCTTGAATAATAACGTGATTATAAGTGAAGCGTTTTACTTTTAAAGATTGAATTAACTAAAATACATTGCATTATAAATGGGAAAAATAATAATTCCTGTATGTTTGTATTTCATATTCTATTACTCTGTTTTAAATAATTGCTGTAATTATGTTGTTGTGATTATAATTTTTATGCTCGTTCATCAATAATCGTTCCTCAAAATAATTCCAAATAATTGTTTTGTAAGAAATGTTTCTTTCAGTGAAATACATATTCAACGTTTTGAAAACAATTAAGATTTTATCATTATATACTCAACAAGCTTGTAAAACGAAAATATGCGACATGAGTGTGCGCTGTAATTTGAAATGTTTCACTAGATGTTGTTCCCGAGAAAGTTATGAGTGTGCGCTGTAATTTGAAATGTTTCACAGATGTTGTTCCAGAGAAAGTTCAGGGTTTCTTCAGGAACACCAACGTTCAAATTGTCCAAGGATCAATGAAGTTCAGTCTGGTTCACAAAAACCGAATGGGAAAGTTTACGGATGTTAGGGATGAAAAGAGAACTAGGGCATGAATTTTCGATCAGCTCACGAACAATTGTGAAGTGAGCTGTGTTTATGGCCACACGAGGAAAATAGCATCAACTGTATCCTAACTATGTAAATCATCAGGAACAAAAACATTAGAGAACTATACATCAAAATATGTGTCACTCTAATGCAAATGTAATCGCAGAAGCAATAAATTGAGATAAGATAAATTGTTGAAGTTTTCAATGTTTTATCTAGCCTATTCAGACAAGAATATTGTGTGGGTGTTTATTTTATAAATATCTCCGCTAAAGTTGAATACTTCTCATAAATATTCATACGTCCTTAACCATCATGTCAGATACAAAAATCAAACGTGTAGGTAAATATATTCAGTAACACTTGTTGATTACACACTTTCCAAACTCGTTTTCTATTGACTGACTACTGAAAGGAGCTGTCTGTATAGTGTCTTTTAGTATATGTCATTTCTATATGACAGTTCAATAACAATGATATTTGTTAATAGGTTTGTTTAACACAAACACTCAGAACGCTATTACGTATACTGACAGTATTTTACGAACCTATGCTCTCTAATGATGTAGAATATTATTGACATTCTAGTCTAAACCCGTACTAACGACACTGTGTAATTCCATTCATCCTAATGATGGAGAACAATATTATATTTCCAGTCATAAAATAACCACATGGACAATGTTGTATGATATCATGTTCTGTAATGATGTAGTTTTGTATCGTGTTTTCGTCCGTTATGTAAGCACAATGACGATATTCCTATACTACATACCACGTTCTCTAACGGTGTAGTTTACTATTAGAAACTATAAAGTGTAAGTTATGTTATAGGATATCGACAGAATGCTAACAAGTTTTACTCCAGAGATATTATGTTTTAGCTGATCAGCAGCGTATATTGTAAAATAGGTAATGTTGCAGGAAGTTAATAACATATCATATTCAGCATGTTACATTTTAAATATTGACAACATAAAGTGTAAAGTATGTTGTATTCCACAAGATCTGTATAATGTAAAACACGTAATGTTCCATAAAACTGACACAGTATATTGGACACTATATGTTTCAAAAGATTATGAGAGATTATACTGTAAAATAAATCGTGTATATGAAGATCAATATTGCTTAGTGTTGGTGTATTCTAAAATATCAACAATCTAAAGTGCAAAGGAAATTATATGTTTCTAAAGATTAACCCAATATTGCTCGAAAACCAAAGCACTTGCTACACATTTGGATGTGCTACTGGGGGTATAATGTATTGTAAACTCGAGAAAATCATATGATCCTGGACATCAATAACACAAGTTGCTTCAAGTGATCAAGAAGTGCATTTCAAACGACAATGCAGTATAATGTAGAGCAGTTCTATTGTGAATCATTAACAGGCAATATTGTAGAGAAGGCTGTGTTTCAGAAGACCAACACGTGTACTGTAGTTTAGTCGATATTCCAAAAGATCAACGTGCTAAACTATGAAGCAGGTTATGTGCTAGTATTACTGAACATCAATATGGCATACTGTAGAACACATGTAGCATTATATCTGTAGGATACAACGTGAAATAAGTTGCGTTGTAAAATGTGCATATACGTATATGTATGTTTACGTGGCATTTCTTTAGAAAATTAAAAATATAACTGTATAGTGTTGAGCAGAATATAAATTCCAGAAAATTAATACAATGTAATGTAAGGATGATTTTGTTCAAGATGATCATTATTCTTCACTGTAAAGAATGTTATGTTACAGATGATCAACATTGTATATTGTAATCTTGGCCATTACCCACAGCAATTCAACAAGACATTCTGCAGGATAGAATATGTTCCACAATATCGACATTGTACATTTCAAACTTGGTTATGTTTAATAAAAGGAACTAATATATGCTGCACGATAAGATGTGTTCCGTAAAATCAACATGTTATACTGTAAGCTAAGTTATGTTCAATAACGTAATCATGTTACAGGGATAATTGTGTGTTCCACAAGATCAGTCTTGTATACTGTGAAGCTCATCGTGTTCAATAAAGATATTATAAGAGTATATTGCAATATATGTTCCTTAACTACAGAATTTTACACTATAAGTTTGTTGTGTTCAATAAAATATCAATAAAGTATACTACAGGATAGAGTACGTTTCATAAGATCGGCACTGTATGCTGTAAGCTTAATCATGTTCAACAAATTTTTATCAGGGTATATTTCAGGATAGGGTTTGTTTCAAAAAGTCAGTTGGGTATTTAAAAACAAGCTATATTTTACACGATTAACGTAAGTATACTGTAACTAGGTTACGCTTAAATAAGTCAACAGGGTGTTCTGTAAGTTACGTGTAAGATTAACATAATATATATTGTACAGCGCCCCAATTTCTGGAAGATAAACAGGGTATGATAAAGGGTGTTTTGTAGAAGAAATATTCTAGGAGAACAACTACAACGCTAGATATTTTCTAGAAAACCATTAGGATGAACGAACTGAAGTTTATGTTACTAAACCTCATTCACCTTTAAGAACTTTCACACGTATAGAAGCCAAACTCCCTAATTCTACTCCACTATCATGGTGATTGCAACATTGTGCTTATATTCCGCTGTTTCTCAAGCAATACTTTATGTCCGTGTTTCGTGAAATTGGTGTTTAGATCTTTTACACCTGAATCGTTTTTAGTTAATCATTAGTTGAGTTTTAAAGGATGTATACTTGTTAATCGGAGCATAGTGTTAATAGTAAGCAATCGCTTAAACGAAGAGAAAAATAGTTAAAGACTTAGATAATAGATGATTACTTTAATTTTGTGATATGTTATTTTAAACGTCAAGAGCCGGAGAAGCAGTGCAAACAAGGCTTAGTATCGTCGTTGTTGTTTTTCTTTCAAATTCCTCTTAATTAGTCCACTTTATTCTTATTGTTTGGCACAAAAGAAAATAGTGACGATAACACGTGGGCTCAATAACCAACATATTAAAAAATACAAATTTTGGTTATGGAAAATCGATTTAGCTTACAAAGTGCAATGCTATAAAAAGGTTATTTAATGTTTATGTCGTAGCATCGTATAGAAATGAAGAGTTGTGGCTATCATATACATATTTATTCTGATTTAAACTCATTCACCGTGCATAGAATTGTGTATATGATAAGACCCCAAAGAAAGTGAAGTATAATTGTGTTTCTTCTCAGCGCAGAGCGGTCCAATCTATTGCTTCTTTAAGTAGTAGCCCCTCCCCCAGTGGCTCAGCGGTAAGTGGGCTATCTGCGTTGTCCCCCAAAACGGTATCGAAACCCGCTTTTTTAGCATTATAAGCCGCCAGACTATGCCACTTGGGAGAGAGGATAGCAGTAATTAACTTTGTGATTAACAATAATCAAAACAAGCCTTTAAGTAATAAACAAATGGAAAATATTG